TTTTTGTACCGGGGATCGAACTCGGGACCTTGTGCTTGCAAGGCAGGTGGCAGAACCACTGAGCTAAATCCCCGGCCCTTGTTCTTTAAATTTAAGGAGTATGATTTTATAGGGTTCTTTATATATTCTAGATGTTAGTCCTTTGTCTGAGGAGTAGCTGGTAAAATATTTTTCTCATTTTGTGGGTTGTCTCTTAACTTTGTTGGCAGTTTCATTTGTTGTAAAAAAGCTTTTTAATTGCATGTGATACCAGTTGTTGACTCTTTGTAATATTTCCTGTGCAACTGGGGTTTACTTCAAGAGTTTTACCTATTTGATCTTCCAGCAGATTAGGTGTTTCCATTTTTAATATTTAGATCTTTGATCTAGTTCAATTTTTACACTTGATCTTAGCCAAAAGGCCGAGAAGCGACGATCTAGTTCAATTTTTTAATTTCAATTTTAGTTTAGTGCTTGGTGTGAGATATGGATCTAGGTTCAATCTTTGGCATGTAGAATGCCAGTTTAGCCAGCACCATTTATTAAAGAGGCTATCTTTTTTCCAGGTGTTTGGCAAAGGATGTTTGACCCTTTTGTCAAAGATAAGGTAGTTAAGTGTGTTTGGAGTTGTTTCTGCATCTTCTATCCTGTTCCACTGATCCTTGGGTCTTTTTTCTTTTGGTCAGTACCATGCTGTTTTTATCATGGTAGCTTTGTAGTATAACTTCAAACTGGGGATTTTGATGCCCCCTCCCTTGCCCTTGTTGCCTAGAATTGCTTTTGCTATTTTAGGTCTTTTCTGATTCCAAATGAATTTTAGGATTGTTTTCTCTAGTTCTGTGAGGTATGGCATTGATATTTTGATTAGGATTGCATTAAATTTGTATAACAATTTTGGAAGTATGGCCACTTTCACTATATTGGTTCTGCTATCCAAGAACAGGGGGTACCTTTCCATTTTCTTTTTTTTTCTTTTGGTAGCAGGGATCAAACTCAGGACCTCAAGTTTTCCAGGCAGGTGCTGTGCTGCTGAGCTACATCCCTGGCCCCTCCATTTTCTGATATCCTCTTCAATGTCCTTTTTCAGAGTATTGTAGTTTTCAATATAAAGGTCTTTCAGTTCCTTTGTTAGACAGATTCCTAAGTATTTAATTTTTTTGATGCTATTATGAAAGATGTTATTTCCCTAATTTCTCTCTCAGTGAGTTTGTTATTTGTGTACATTAATGCTAATGATTTTTGAGCATTAAATTTGTATCCTGTTGCACTGCTGAATTTGGTTATTAAATCTAGAAGTCTTTTGGTGGAGTTCTTGGGGTCTTCTATGTAGAGGACCATGTCATCTGCAAATAATGATAATTTAACTCCTTCCTTTCCTGTCCTCCATTTCTTTCTCTTGTCTAATTGCTGTGGCTACTGTTTCCAGAACTATATTGAATAGAAATGGTGATAGTGGGCATCCTTGTCTTGTTCACCATCTTAGAGTGAAAGCTTTCAGTGTTTGACCGTTAAGTATGTTGTTGGCTGTTGGTTTGTCATGGCTTGTATCAGATTGAGATAAAGACCATCTTTTCCAATTTTCTGTAGGGTTTTATTCATGAATGGTTGTTGGACTTTGTGAAATGCTTTCTCTGCATCTATTCAGAGAATCATGTGGTTTTTGTCCTTGGTTCTGTTAATATGGTTTGTACATTTATTGATTTGCATATATTGAACTATTCCTGCAACCCTGGGATGAATCATATTTGGTTGTGGTGTGTTATCTTTTTGATGATTTATTGCATTCTATTTGCCAGTATCTTATTGAGGATTTTTGTATCTATGCTCATTAGGGAGATTGGCCTGTAGTTCTCTTTTTTTGGTTAGATCCTTCTCTGCTTTGGGTATCAGGGTAATGCTTTCTTCCAGGAATGAGTTTGGGAGTATTGCTTCCCTTTCAATTTCATTAAAGAATTTGAGGAGTAGTTGCATTAGATTGTCTCTGAATTTTTTGAGAATTCAGGAGTGAATCCATCAGGGCCTGGGCTTTTCTGTAGGGATATATATATATCTATCTTGTTTAATTTCCTGAATTGATACTGGTTTATTTAGAATATTTATATATTCTTGCTTCAGCTTTGGAAATTCATATGTACCTAGGAATCTGTCCATTTCTTCTGAGTTTTCCATCTTAGTAGAGTACAGGTTCTTAAAGTAAATACTGATGATCTGGATTTCTGCAGGATCTATTGTGATTTCACCCTAGTCATTCCTGTTTGCATGGATTTGGGTCCTTTCCTTCCTTTCTTTGATCAGATTGGCTAAGGGCTTGTCAATTTTTTTTAATCTTTCAAAGAACCAACTCTTTGATTCATTGATTCTTCATATTGTTTTCTTAATCTCAATTACATTAATTTCTGTGCTGATCTTTATAATTTCTTTATTCCTAGGAGCTTCGTATTTAACTTTGTTTTCTTTTTCCAGAAACTTGAGGTTCAACTTTAGGTTGTTTATTTGAGCTCACTGTTTTTTTGATGTGAAAATTCACTGCTATAAATTTCCCTTTTGAACTCCTTTCATTGCATCCCATAAGTTCCAGCATGTCATATTGGCATTGCCATTTAATTGTAGAAATTGTCTAATTTCTTCTTTAATTTCATCTGTAAACTATTGGTTGTTCAAGGAGGTGATATTTAATTTCCATGTGTTTATGTAGTTTTTGTGGTTTGTTTTGCCACTGATTTTCAGTTTCAATGCACTATGACCTGATAATATGCATGGGGTAATTTCAATTCCTTTGCATTTACTTAAGCATGTTCTATGAGCTAGATTGTAGTCTATTTTGAAGAAAGTCCAGTGTGCCACTGAGAAGAATATATATTCTATTGTTGTTGGGTGGATCATCCTGAAGATATCTACTAAGCGCATTTATTCAAAAGGTTGGTTCAGTTTGGATATTTCTTTGTTGATTTCTTGTCTAGTTGATCTGTCTATTTGTGACAGTAGGGTATTGAGGTTCCCCATTAAAATTGTATTAGTGCTTATTTGATTTTTCATATCTATTAGTGCTTATTTTATATAGTTGGGTGTGCTGGTATTTAGTTCATATATATTTATGATTGTTATCTCTTCCTCTTGGATTATTCCCTTAACAAGTATGTGGTAACCTTCTTTGTTTCTTCTGATCAGTCTTGACTTGAAATCCACTTTGTCTGCAAATAGAATAGCTACCCCTGCTTTTTTGCAGGTTCCTGTCACATGGAGTATTGTTTTCTATCCTTTTACTTTCAGTCTATGAATTTCTTTTTGAGTTAAATGTGTTTCTTGTATGCAGCCTATTGTTGGATCTTATTTCTTGATCCATTCTGTGCAGCTGTTTCTTTTGATTGGTGAATTGAGACCATTTACATTGATGGTTATAACTAATATGTATTATCTTATCCTTGTCATATTTGAGAACTTGTACTCTAAGTTTCCTGTTGTTTCCCTTTCTTTCTCTCCTGTTTAATTTCTTGCCTTGCCTGGTAGATTCTTGGGATTATTGGAATTTTTGTCTTCATTGTCTTTTTCTAGAATATCCTTCAGAACATTTTGGAGTGTTGGTTTGGTGGTCATGAGTTTCTTCAGGTGCTCTTTATCATAAAAGTCTTATTTCTTGGGCCAGGGATTTAGCTAAGTGGTGTCACCACCTGCCTCACAAGCACAAGGTCCTGAGTTTGATCCCCGGTACCAAAAAAAAGTCTTATTTCTCCATCAATGTTGAAAGAAAATTTTGTGGGGTGCATCAATCTGGTTTGAGGTTGTTTTCTCTTCTTTTTTCATTGGAGGTTTTTTTCTTTTCGGACTTGAAGTACTTCACTCCAAACTCTCCTTGACTGAAGTGTTTGTATTGAGAAGTCAGCTGATTCAGAGTGATAATGAAGTTGACAAGAAAGTACAGAGCAAGAATAGTAAGGTTTTGAAGAAAATATGCATTGAAGAAGGAAATTGTAGAAAAGCATGAGCATGGTATTCATGTGACTGCTTTGGCCTCAGAGTACAAGATGGTGAAGTAGAAAATCTCAACTATTTTGAAGATGCCATAAAGGAGCTGATGTGGCAAAAGGAGTTATGTTATCCAAGCAGAGGACACAAGTGCTGGAAGAGGTGGAAAAACATTTGTTAGTGTGAATGAGAAACAGTTGGCAGGTGACAGCATTAGTAAAGCTATGATATGTGAAAAAGCCAGGAAATTGCAGTGATTTACTAAAAGAAAAACCCTCTACAAATGCAACAAGTGACAAATTTAAAGCTAGTAGAGGGTGATTTGATATATTCCACAAAAGAAGTGATATCCACAGTACAGTAAGACATGGTGAGGCTTCCAGTTCTTAAAAGGCCACTGCAGAAACCTAAAAGAAAGAATTTGAGGAATACATGAAGGCAGAAGGATACATCACTCAAGTGTTCAACTGAGATGAAACAGGGGTCTCCTGGAAGAAGATGCCAAGCAGAACTTATATCACATAGGAGGAAAAGGCACTGCCAGGGCATAAATCTATGAAGGACAGATTGACCCTTTTGTTGTGTGTGAATGCAAGTGCCGATCTGAAGATTAAGCCACTACTGGTGAACCATTCCTAGACCCCCCATGTATTCAAGAAACAGAATGTGAACAAGATCAGACTGCCTGTCATGTGGAGGGCCAATGCAAAACCTTGGGTCACAAGGCAATTGTTTATAGAATGTCTGTACAAGATGTTCACACCCACCATTAAGAAATATCTTTCTAACCACCAGCTGCCTGAAAGGTGCCTTCTGATGGACAATGCCCTGACACACCCTCCAGCCTTGGTAGATGAAATGGACAATGAGTATGACTTCATAAAGGTCAAGTTCCTCCCACTAACATGACACCAATTCTGTAGCCTATGGACCAGCAAGTAATCTGCCACTTCAAGAAGCTATAAACAAAGATACTCTTCACCAGGTTTTTTAATGTCACTGAAAAGATGTCCTTGACTCTAAAAGAGTTCTGGAAGAAACATTTTAATGTCCTCCACTGAATCAGCTTCATAAGCTTGGGAAGTTGTCACATACTGGACCTTAAACTCAGCCTGGAGGAAAGTCGTCAGAATATTTCACTGAACGTGACTTTGAAGGGTCTGATGCACAGGTAGTGGAGGAGATTGTATCCACTGGGAAGAGTATAGGTCTGGACATCAATGGCACAGACATAGAGGAGCTTGTGGAGGACCATAAGGAGTCGCTGATGATGGAAGTATTTGCTGAGCTCCAGCGTGAGCAGCAGAAGGTGCTTGTTGAGGAGCCTTCCAGTGAGGAAGAGGAAGACAGGGAGGAGATTACAATGATGGGATAAATCCATTATGGAGGGGCCAGAGATTTAGCTCAGTGGTTCCACCACCTGCATTGCAAGTGCAAGGACCAGAGTTTGATCCCTGGTACCAAAATAATAGTAATAATAATAATAATAATAATAATAATAAAAAAATCCATTATGGAAAAATGGACTGAGTGCCAGGATTTCTTTGAGAAGCACCACCCCAACATAACTGTAATGAACAGAGTGTTGAATCTGATGAATGATAACATGATCTCTCATTTCAGGAGGATCATGCAGTACAGGAAAAAAAAACAAGTGACATTAGGCAGATTTTTCATCAAAATTGACCCAGCAGCTAAGAGACAAAGAAGAAAGGAAACCCCTGAAGGAGATCTCCTCAAATGTCCTTATGGAGGGGACTCTCCATCCAAACAATAACTTCCACCCTACCTACCTTCCTGCCCTCCACAGCAGAAGTCATCTAAAGCAAGGTTAGTATGCTCTGTCTTCATACTGTACTGTACAGTGCAGTGGTAGCTCAGTTCATGCATTTGTTTTATGATTTTGGGGAAGATGGTCATGTTTGTGTCTGTGTGGGGAAGATGGCTACAGTTGTTTGTCACTCAATATGGAATTTGTGAATGGAAGCAAAATTGTGTCAAGTACTTTTGTTTGAGAACCAAATTGTTTGCAAACAGAAGCACTCAAGAACCAAGGCACCGGTATACTTGGTTTCATATTTTTATGGTTAAAATATACATATGGTTCAGAATGGATTAACCTTTTCAACATTGAACCTTATGTGAACATTTGATTTGGTTCATGACCAAAATTTGTTTGTGACCATTTTTGTAGGGGTCATAACGGATTAACCTTATTTACATTGAACTTTATAGGGAAATTTGATTCAGCTTGTGACCAATTTGGCTTGCAACCAGAATTATGGAACATATTAAATTCATGAACTGAGGTACCACTGTAGAGTATTGTTTATAACCTCCAAAAAATCTAGGTATTGGCATATAAGGAAGATCGATTGATCATAGCAACTATGTCACCTTGACTAAAATAGTACAATCAGTAATAACAATAGCATTAAGTACAGTCTAGAAAATGACAAATGGTATTTTTAATTTGCCACCTTTAATCACAGGTACAAGATATACAGTTATATAACAAAATCTAAGACAAATCATAAAATTATATAGAGTAAATATCCCCTCAATAGAGCAATTTTACTCTCAGGGAAGAAAATTTCAAAGGAATAAGAGGAAAAAATAGAGAAATTGAAGAAGAGAAAGAGATTAGAAGCAAGGCTGAAGGACAAAGGAAAATTACCCAAGCCTTGGGAAACTGGTGAAGAAAACAAGAAGGAAAGAAAGAAGAAACAACAACAAAACAAAACAAAAAGCTAAAAGCAACGTTCACACTCATGAAAACAACAACACCCAAATGAAGAAAAGAACAAAAACCAAAGTGAAGGAGGAAAAAAAAAAAGAAATTTCTCTGTGATTTCAAACCTATGGTTGTCTTCTGGGATCTACAGTTTTGTGGCAGTGTCCAATTCAGGGCATCACTCTGTTCTTGCTTGCAGACAAAGGAGGCAGTCAGAGCCCAGAGCCATATAGGATAACCCCAGCAAGCCTGCAGTAGGATTAACACAAGGTGCTGGTTCTGGCGCTTTGAAATCCACAGAAGTTCAGGCTGATCCTGGCCTCTGGTCATGGGGTTAGGGTCTGAGTTGTTTAGATTATAACATTCTGGATGTCTCTTGCTGGCTTGACCACTTATAACACACTGGATGTCTCCCATGGTGGTCCCTCACACAGTCACTGTGGGTTTTTAACACTGGGAGCCCTGAGATGAAGCCAATCACAGCTGCCACAAGTTCTGGGTTCAGTTGGCCCCTCCCTAAAATGGCATCCAACCAAGCACTGTCTCCAGGGGACACTGCAGTTGCTTGGACCGGAGTCAGTCACCAGCTGTGGTACCTCACAGGACACAGTGCTCTGTTCCACTCTTCTGTTTCTTCCTGGAGGCCTCTGGAATTACTCACTTTCACTGTGTCTCTGTAGATTTGATCTTTCTTTCTCATGCCAGGATCCAGGAGCTGGGGAGAAAGTGCGGATTTCCTTTTACTTTTCCTGCATTGAGGCCTGTTTCTTTACTTTCTCTGTGGGCCCCAAATTCCCTTCAGATTCTACCTGATTCCTGGCAATCTACCTCCTTCCCTCTTTTCTTCCCCAAGTTCTTATTTTCCAGTGTCTAGATTCTGAACTTGGAGAGGTTGATTTGTTGTTGTTTACCTCTCTATCTACCATCCTCCCAGAAGCCAGAAGTCTCTATGGTGCCTTTTTTTTTTTTGTACAAGGGATCAAACTCAGGACCTTGCACTTTTGAGGCAGGTGGCAGAACCACTGAGCTAAATCCCTGGACCCTCTAAGGTGGTTCTTTATGACAGTTGTCTTAGTCTGTTTTCTGCTATTATAATAGAATAGCACAGATTGGGCATTATGGTTTAGATTTTAAAATGCTCCTTAAAAGTCTTATGTGTTTGTAAGGTGATTGGATCATGGAGATCCTATACTCATCAGTAGATTCATCCATTGATGAACTAAGTAGCTGAATGTGTTGTTGGGAGGTAGGGCTTGATTGGAAGGGTGGGTCAATGTTACCTGGAAGAATGTATTCTTATCTCTGGCTCCTTCCTTCTCTCTCTGCTTCCTGGCTGCCCTGAGGTGAGCAGCTCTCCTCCACCATGTCCTGCCATGTCATTTCTGCCTTGGAGCCAACCAACCATGAGCTGAATCCTCTGAAAACTGAACCAAAATAAGCCTTAACCCCTTTAAGTTGTGAGTCTTGGCTGTTTTGTTCCAGTGACAGGAAGGCGATTAATATACTGGGTAACATGTAAACAATAGAACATTTTTTCTCAGGGTTCTTGGGTCTGAGACATCTAAGAGCATGACCTGGGGGCTGCATCATAACACAATGGAAGAATAAGCATGTGCAAGACAGAGAAGAGATGGGGTTAAACTCATCCTTTTTATAAGGAGCCCACTCTAATAATGAACCCATTCTCTTGATAACGGTAAATCCATTCAGGAGAGCAGAGCTCTCATGGCCTAATCATCTATTAAAAGTCTCACCTCTGAATACCAACACAGTGGCAACTCAGTTTCAACATGGGTTTTTGAGGGGACATTCAAATCACAGCAGTAATGCACTCTAAATGTTGCTCAAGGCCTCCCAGTATCAGTGATCACTGCTGGTTCCAACTTCCTTTCTCCAATGAGGTCTTGTTCTCTTTACCCGTCTCTCCCTTTACGGCTACCCTGTGCTGTGCAAACACAGAATTTATATCTTTTTTTTTGGTACCAGGGATCGAGCTCAGGACCTTGCGTTTTCGAGGCAGGCGGTGGATCCACTGAGCGAAATCCCCGGCCCTATACTGTTTATTAGAGCTGTACACACTGAGAACCTTCTATCTTGGGAATTCCTTACTCTTTTTTTGTTTTGTTTTTTTTTTTGGTACCGGGGATTGAACTCAGGTTGGAAATTCTTTACTGACTGAATCCTGCTCTTCTTCATGGTGCTGTTCCAATCCATGTTCTCTTCAGTTAGCTTGCCTCCTGAGAGCTGAAGCTTCCAGTCACACCTTCCATCTTAAGGCTTCTGAAGGTACTTTGCTGTAGGAAAACAATTTCTTCTCTAAGAGGAATTTTGTCCCTAGACATTGAGCCAAGATCTTTTTCCACATGCCTCAGTTAGTTCTTAAAGGGACCACAGATGGTTCACATATTAAGTGTCACCTCCTCAAATGAACTCAAAGTGGGGTGAATTTTTTGAGGCAGTGAAACTTCCTTCCTAGGATTGCTTTTGGGACTGTCTTTTAACTTCCTATTGGTTGGCATTTTCCCAGCATGCTGCAAGCACTTTTTAATACCCTTGCTGAGTTTCTACCTTAGCCAAGAAACTCATTTTGAGTTGATAGATTCTCCACTGAACTTTATGCCAGCAGCCTTTGACTTTGAATATGACAACAAAAGAAGAGATGCCTGGATTGTTCTTTGTGCAGGTTTAGTCTTGTTGTACAGGACAGTTCCTTTGCCCAGCTTTGGGAAATCCAATTTAGATGGTTACCACCTGCTGTTTCAGTCTCTCATTTGGTGCTAACTCACAGGCTCTTTTGTTGTCAAAACAGTTGGCATGAGTTTGTGGAGTGCTCTCTGTCTCTGCCTCTCTCTGTCTCTCATGGCTACTTTCCAAAAAATTTAAAATCACATTACGAATTCTTTCATTTCTTCACTTTCCTTTCTCTCTTTCCACCTCTGAGACCACCTGTCTCTTTTTCTTTGGATACACTTCCTTCTGTCTTTCACATATCACTCTTTCTGGCTTACCTTTTTCTCTTTCTTGGGCTCAAGCCAAGGGTGTTGTGTACTCTAGACAAGCACTCTGTCACTGAACTACATCTTCAGTCCCATTTTAGCCATCATTTTTTGTTTTTAAAACAGGATCTTACTATGTAGTCCAACCTGGCCTTGAACTTGTGATCCTCTTGTCTCAGTCTCCTGATTTCTGGGATTACAGAATGTGCCACCATGCTGGGCTTCAGTTTAGCCATTTTAAAATTCAGTGGAATTAAACTGAACTTTTAAACTGAAATGTGCTGAATTAAACAGTACACTTAAACTGTTATGCAACCATCCCTACCATTCACCCCCCAAACTCTTTTCATCTTACAAAACTGAAGCTCTTTCCCCATTAAACATCTCCCCATTCCTCCCTCCCTTCCACCTCCAGTCACCACCATTCTACTTTCTGTCTCTATGAATTGGACCACTGTAGGTATTTCATGTAAGTGGGATCAAACAGTTTTTGTCCTTTTGTGAGTGGTTATTTCATTTAGCATAGGTCTTAAAGTTTCATCCAATTTAGGGCATTTCAACTATTACTGTTACACAAGAGATTCCAATTCTATAGCTCAAGGTTTTACCTCTCAAGATTTGCTTTATACCTCCAGCTTCCTTTGAGTTTTTACAAACAAATGCATTTCAGTTGCTTCAAAGTTCACAGATCTAAAACCATGCATATCACCCTTCCCTCCAAATCAGTTCCTCATTTTTATCAGTGGAAATATGCTTTCAAGTTCTCTTTAAATCCTGGGCCATTTCTATTTCTTCTTCCTGTTTCTATCTACATCAAGACACTTTGAAGCTTATAAACTGTCCATAGATCCCTATCACCTCCTAGAGAATGAAGTCCACAATCCTCAGCTCTCCTACAATCTGGCCTTGATTTAGTTGAGATTAGATTCATTTGTATATGGGTAAGTAAGCCCAAAATGATAATGGCTTTAAAAATGATATAAAAGGTTACTTTTTCCTATGTTAATGAATTCTAGAAATAAAATATTAAATCCGATAGAGAAAAGAAACAAATCACCTACAAAGGAAAGCCCATCAGAATCACAGCAGATTCCCCAGCA